ACATATCAAAATTTTCAGCAAAAACGTCTTTCATTCACCATGAATAAATTAAGGCACAAAAATCACACAGCACCGGGAATCACAAGCTATGCGTGATAGCCAAAGACTACAATTGTCAACGTCGTGGATAGATGTCCTTCAATGTGTCACAGACTGTAGGTCAAATTGAACTTCCTTTAAATTGGCGCCAGCGTCGTGCCCCAATGACCTCATTGCTGTTGTTCAGATAAACAATGAGGAATGAAAATCGGTTTCTAATGGGCTTATTTGGCCAACCGATGTATATATAAAACATTTTACATGCGAATGGGAGGAGGAAAAATGCAGTTCAATTTCAAAAGCCCGCTTACCATGAGCAATAGCTATTCCAGTGTTCTGGCTCCAAAATCAACCCTTAACTATAAACCCCAGTCCTAATTCCAACTTTAACCTGGAATTTAGCGTAAGGCCACCTCTACTGCGGATTGTTCCTGTACTCTTGTCTTACTTCAACCTTCACACCGACCCAAATCTCCTTGGACTGTACCACTAGGCCAAGCGTACTACAGAGGGGAGTGGGTACTTTTTCCACTATCTCACAGATACGGTCTGCAAAAATCCTACAAGAGCCAAATATTTTCAATGGATTAGTTAATCCACCATATAGGCCACCTTTAGAGGAAATCCTTATATCAAACGCAAATATTATTCCACGTTTTAAGGTCTCCTAAAAAGTTAATGTGTTGTGCCTTAGTTTAATACTAAAAAAGCTTTGTTGAGAAGTTCCTTGTTCTTGAGGACTCATGCGTCAAAGTGTGTTGCATTCGAGCTGATAGAAGGTTTATCGTCCTGTGGAGTCCCAGACCGCGGTTTTATTCTCTTAAATTCAGCAAATTGTTTTATGCAGATTCGCTTCAACTATATCAATGACTCGGTAAAAGAATTACTTTGGGAAACGGTGGTTTATTGGGTGATTTTTCGACACTGGCTCACCAGGTCGTCGTCAGACGGATGGGAATTGTACGAAACTGTACGAACAATTTCATACAATTCCCATCCGTCTGACGACGACCTGGTGAGCCAGTGTCGAAAAATCACCCAATAAACCACCGTTTTCCAAAGTACTTCTACCGAATTATATGTTCTTCTTGGGATCCCGATTTTCCTGTTTATATCAATGATTATTTTGCGTGTTGCTGCCCAAGTCGGCGAAAATACTAGACAAAGCAGAAACTTGCGGATACAAACTTGTGTCTACACAAAACTCGAGAGCCTTCTGAATACTGAGACTTCTTTAAGTGACAGTAGATGTGCTGTCTCATGGCATGTAAATCGAAATTCGGAAATCTGCTCTTTAGAAAAGATTACTTAAGTTGGTTGATAATACTACTTATCCTGCGACCTAATCCCGAAATATTTCAGTCACGTCCGGCTAACAACGTTTTCACGACACTCTTTTCGGTCGCTCGCAAAATCTGCATTCAGTAAAATCACCATTCAAGTAGTATTCTTTTTTCTACTTGATTTTAGTGCCCTTATACATTCAAATATAAATTTTATAGAAAACGTGCACGGAAATATTATTTCACGTATTTATTTGGTACTAAATTACACCTTCTTCAAAGCCGAAACTTGAAGAAAGGGTTTCTTTTAGATTTAAAAAAACTCTTCCCGATTAACTTTTGAACTTGGCTTGCCATTAGGCTTGCATTCAGGGTTTCCAATCTACGTATTTTATAAATTTCCTCCAAGCAAAATCCTATACTGATCCGCGGTATAAACAAGACGTCAGACAGGCCTCATAATATTTTGCGTTTTTATATAAGTAGTATTAATAAGTGGATAGCTACGATACTTTACGAATGCACACCTCACCGTCTTAAAAATATCATAGGCCGATAATTTTTACAACTGAAAGATACTCTTCCTTCAAGTATAAAATCTTAAAAAATGTGACTTGCAACTAAATGTGACTGGAATATCTCGAGATTATGTCGTAAGATAATTAATATTACAACCCTACGTGAACATTTTTTTTCGAATTTAAAATACGTTGCAGAATATTGGTCATTTTATAATGAGATGGTAAATCTACTATATCTTATCCTCACTCCCAATCACATAATTTCACGATAGCGTAAGTTTAGACTTAAGGTTTAAGAATAATTAGTTCCAGTGGATGTCGGCCAAACAAATCACTCCATCCTATATAAACAGCGGGATTAATGCGAAATAGCCCTACTGAGTAAGTCTTGATTTCATCGACTTTATATCGCAATCGGTGACTGTGAGAATTTTCAGTGTATTATCACCAGGTGTATAAAGTAATGCCAGAAAAGGCACAAACTTATCAACACTAGATCCTTCCAGCATGAGTTTAGTTATCATAACAAGTCGATTTATTTCAGTCAGTGTTTCTTAAGCTTCACTAATTGGCCTTTTCGTAGGTTCTTTTGCACTTATTTTGACTTATTACGGTCTTTGCTACCATCTTGACCTCAGACCGATCCGAAGCGTTTGAAGGGAGCTCTGAAGGCCGCATTGAAACTCATAACGCCTGATACTCGAGTCATGCTTATTGGCTGTTCCAGCGCCCCATTTGAAGCTACGATAAAGCCCTTCTGTGGACTGTACGAAAGAGTCATCTTGATCCCCCGTCCGGACTATGCATCTCGATACTGTGAGTTTTGATCTCAGTCATTTTTCTGTAATTTTCTTCTTCCTACCTCATGTGCAGTAGCGCACGACTGAGGTGCAGTTGTAAGGAAATAAAACATGGATAAACATTTGTGGTATTTAATTGCAGCTTTATATTTTGCCAACCTTAATCCTTCTCCTTCGTGGACACTACAACCGCCTGGTATGAGATTCAGCTCACTGACATCGCATCTATAGTGAGCGTCTAGACATTGAACGCAATTGACAGTGTAATCATTTTCTCTCCGAGTCACATTGGACAGATGCACTCAACTATTGCAGACAGCTCGATTTTGTGGCAACGCATTGGTGAGAATGTGAAGATTTCTTAATAGACCTATTTGAAGCAACTTGGACAATTCTGTTGCAACAGTGAACTTTGATTATGCTTGAGGAAAAACCAAGTATTCGCTGCCAAACAGTAAAACAACCACGTATGCGCGTTGCTAGTATACTCAGACCCCACGGTATGCTGAAAACGCGCCCCTGCACATTATGTACATCAGAGCCATGCGGATTCATCGCAAGACCGCTGTTATTGGTTAAACGCATGCTTACCACAATCGGGGCAACTGTTCGAAAAATTGAATTGCTTTTCGAAAAAAACCTTGTTGTCTAGGATATAACTTAGTGGTTAAAGGTAAAAGAAGACTGTATCGTAAAAAATGGGAAAATCCTCTATCGGGTTATAGATAAAAACCTGACTCCGGTTGGCAAAACTTCGTCAGGGTGCAAGACTAGACAAACCCGCTATGATAATCGGTCGGTCCTGCACTTACGTTTTCCATAATAAGCATCACAGGTTTCTGCAGACAAATCATGTTCAGAAATAAATCAATTTCGCTTCCTACCTTGTTAGTACAATGACATGGCCACAGCCGAGGCGTCGTTCTAAGCATTGCTAGGACCTTCCAGAGAGTTGTTCTATTAAGAGTTGCTGAGTTCACAGCGGAGCCAACTTGATGCAGACCTCTGTGTGACGACGTCCGGTTCGTCAAACTCGCATCGTTTTCTGGGTACCAAGATCCTTCCACGCTGCTGCTTTACTCAATATTAACATGGTACCTTTGGATATCACTTATCAGTAATCATTTTTTGGCAAACCTTACACAGTGCTTTTTGACAACTGAGATCAGCAAGGTTATGAATAACAACAGAGGTCAACTCATTCGTACCAGAAACTGTTGTTTTGTGAACACTTTTCACTTGTCCTTTCAAGGAGAACAGTAGTATTTATTTGGTATGCCTGTCTTCGTGTTAACCTACTTATATAAACTGAGTGTCCCGATTATGCCGGCTTTTGTGCTCTGTCTTCCAAAGTGATTTGGCAGGTTCTCATTCCAAAGTACCAAGGCGAGATAACGGAGAAACTGGACCTTTCTTCATTGGCCAAAATTTCTGACGGTTACACCATGGGAATGATGGCTAAGGCTTGCCAAGAGGTATTGACTGAGAGGCGGTTGGCTTTGCTGGAACACAAACCTCTGACAACTGGCGAATTTATACTCCCACTTTCACGCATCGATCCAGTCTTCCAGGAGGAAGAGGATGCCTACAAGGTAAGCTTCGATTATGCTAACAATGCTACTCACTGTTTGTCAATACTACTTTAATAGTGACAATTTTACGTGTGCGTATACAGATGTATATGACACACCGGCGTGTAATCGATAGGGTTTTCAAAGGCATTGCCTATTAGCCTCACCAAATAAACTGAATGCTCGTATAACTGCCATCCTTGTGTTCTTGGGCTACACGCCCCAGCTCGGAATAAATTAGGACGGCTTGGGAGAAATTAGCGGCAATTACGTGCCCTAAGGATGGGTAAATATCAGCAGGGCTTGTGAGTTAGCGGTTTCGTCCTATGATATGTCAGTCTTCTTAGTTCGTTACGTCGTCTTGAACCTTTATATTTAAATGGTTTGGCAGATTGTTGTCTGAGGCTGTACTGCAGACCGCCATGCCTTTCAATTCCGTTCTAACATTTTCCAGGTTTTTGAGTTTGTTTTGAGATACTTGGAAGAGGGTTGCAACGTGACCTTCCTCAGTCCGCGCTTCAGGTGCAAGTTTGAAGAGAATTTTGCCCGAAATACCGAGTAGGAAGATCCTCAGGTTAGGTTCACAGATTGGCCGTATCCTTGTCGTGAAATCTATTGGGACAGTGAACCAAACTTGCCCGTTTCTTACGGGGTAGCCTTATTAAAAAATGTGGGCTGGGATCAAATGCATATCCGGAGTCTTGGCACTGGTGTTCAGTCCCAGTCTCCTTAGGGTGGTAAAACTCAACATTAACCTCCAAATTATTCCGGATGTTTTCGCCCCGTGGATCAAAAGCCCTTATAACAGTGGTATAGAGAGAATAATGAAGTGGCTTCCGATTATATTCAACGCCACCATCATCATCCTACCGCCACAAAATGCTTAAACAAGTTGTATCTTCTGAACTTATTACGAAGTTTAAAACATTGACACAGGTGAGCTGGCTGTCAGCAAGCATCTCAACTAGATAGGGTCAAAAGGCACTAGATATAGTCAAGACGCTTTGAGATTCGACCTCAAAGTAGAACCTAGGCCCACCCAAGCCGCCTAACAGCAACGAAGATCGATTAAGTGCGCTGATAACTAGGCAATGGCCTCATCTTTTCAACTACTTATTTCTAAAACAGACTGATGGAATGCTGTTACTCATGGAAATTAGATTTTCTTGCTTAAAATCGAGCGCTGAGTTTGTCATCTGCCTCTGTGAAAGACATTCCAGTGTCAAACCACTTTATTTTTACTTACTCCAACACAGCCCTAACGACCTTCGGTTATCAGTAGCGGCGTAGTCATTTTCTCACATGTTTCTGCTAACAAACGAGGATACTACTCCAAGCATTCATTCCCCATAAATACTTCAACAACCAGTAACTTTCTTGGTGTAGACATGGTATCGAAAAACGCCGATGGGGAAGAAACGCATCAAGGCCATCCAAGAAGCAGCCGAGGCGGCGGCAAATGCAAGCAAGAAAAAGGGCAAGAAGAAGTAGGAGGAGAAACGTCGCAATACCGTCCAGCATCCGGCAGAGTTGACATCGAATCCCTCCAAGCGGCAAAGCCAAGAAATCTAAAAATCCTTCCGGTTCTAGCGGTGACATAAGTGCCTCTTTGTGGAGTAACAATCTACCAAAACACACACACACACACCATATCACATGCAGTTCGGAATTAAATTCAGCGGCAACCGACGAATGTTACATGAACTCTGCGCGTGGTCACTAGGCCCACTAATTCTATCCGGACTGCACAATTCTCATTCACTCTCCTTTGATAATAATGCAGATTATTAAAATAGTACTTACTTATGTCGAATGAACAAGTATAGGCCACTAGAGCAATCCAGAGGGTTCATTGAAGGCTGAAACCCTAACAAGCAGAATAAAGTGCGACCGCAACAGCCTTTTCAAGTTTGTATATTCTCCAAAAGGCAAATGAAAGTACAATGTGCAGCATTTTATAGCAGGGGGGATGATGCTCAGTTTGAGGTACTGGGAGTTGAAACAGGAAACAGGGCCTAGGAGCCTACTGCCAGTTTCTTCACGCGATCATTTAAGCCCTGCCGATTTCGAGCAATCTCAAGGGCAAGGAATTGGATCCTGGGGACGACACAGGTGTTGGCCTCATCGTAGCCCTTGTTTGCATCTAGGCGAAGAAGGGTGCCCTGATTGAAATCCTCAATAACGTCCTCAAATTCCATGCAGAATGGACGCCAAAGCTAAAAGGCAAAATGGCGAAGCGACAAGGACAGTTTCGTAGACCCTTGTTGGCGGTTGTTGAGACAAAAAGTGCGCAGAAAGGGTTGGTTTAAGTGGAAAATTGCGCTTAGAGGATACCAGCGCCCAGTGGACTACATGAAATACGTTCAGATCTCAGACATTCGACTAAAAAGGCAAAAAAGGGACTTTATGAGGATGGTGTGGTATAAATCTTTGCGAATACTTTCCACTACCAAATAACTAAATCTTCATAACCCTTGGGTTCATTAACTAGAACGGGGACACATGATCCTTTAAAAAATTAAAAACATGAAAGGGGTACTGTCAACTGGCCTGATGGAAAGATTACCCTTTTGCGGTTGATGTGACAGCAAATTTGAGCGTGCCGTTTTTGCCTTAGGGCTCCGGTTGAGGGCAGGTGGTCGTACAAGAGGTTCGATTTGTAGAAATAAGAGCTCTAGACCGGGGGCCACCAAGCAAAAGTAAACAGCGGCATCCCTTTATGCAATCGGGCCAGATCGTTGGACACCACTTGACTGCAAATATGTTCGGTAACAGCCTGCACAGTGCGAGCCCGAGACCGAATCGAGAAAACATTAAGGACAATGACCATATGAGTCTCGGGGCAAGTATTAAGGCGTCTCACCCTGGGATTACTCGAGGCTTGGCTGATGACGGGAAATAAGCCTGAAGCGGCCGCTCCAGTCTACTTGGCCTTTGTTTGTAACATTACCAACCACAAAATGAGACTACTTATTAACGAAAACAGAGCCAAATAAAGGTGAAAACAAACAATGGTTATTTCAGTCGGCCTCGTCTTTGCTAGTACTCCTCTCTCTGCGTAATTACTTGTCTTTAAGCGACTGCCTGCAAGCAGTGTAAACTGAGCCTCAAAGCACAACGGGACAAGCAGGTCCTATAACCCAATCGGTGAGTGCCTCTCCCCACGGTGATAATTAATATGCCCGTTCCAAACGGGTTCAGTCCTTCCAGAAGGAAACACGTATCAAGTAAAAGGGTTCCTCATAGACTTCCGACAAGCAAACTAGGCAATCAGAGGGAGGAAGAGCGTTAGCCGGGAGAGGTTTATTTTTTATCTTACTTTTCGGATAGTTGTCTCGCCTATCCATCTTCAGAGAATGAATACTCTGGCTCCTGGCTCTCGCTATATGCCGCTCCTTTCTTCAGCGTGTGTAGTCTACCAATCAAGTTTGA